GCTGAGTGTCAATCAGCTCAAAGTTGGATACCCAACAGCCTGTTGCTCTGAGGTGTGCTGGCTGTACTGCAGCACACTTGAGGTCTTATGGAGATGAGCCAGGGGCTCCTGAGGTAATAGGACCCAAGAGGCAAACACCAGTGAAATACCTCAAAGGAATTAAGGGCCATTCCTCTAAGAAGGTGACATGGCCAACAGCCCAGCTGAAGTGCCTCTACACCAATGCACATAGCATGGGCAACAAACAGGAGGAGTTGGAAGCCACCGTCCTGCTAGAAAGCTATGACCTAGTTGCCATTACTGAAATGTGGTGGGATGAATCCCATGACTGGAGTGCAGCTATCGATGGCTACAGGCCAACAGTGATGTGCAGCCTCCTGGCATTTTGTGTTTGAAGGGACAGATACATCTACAGTTTAGAAATATGTGGAAATATGTGGACTGAGTACCTCTGTGTTTGCTCTGTCTCTAGGTTAGTCTGGGATGAAAAAGGGATTTGCAATTCAGAAGGGACAAGCGAGGAAGGAGGGGAGGACCCATTGCCCTCTACACCAAGAAAAATGGGTAGAGGTGAAGACCTGTCTCTGAAGAAGAACCACAAGCAGGTTGAAAGCTTATGGGTAAGAATCAGAGACCGAGGCAACAAAGGGAACCCTGTGTCTACTACAGGCTGCCTGATCAAGGGGAGCCTACTGACGAAGCCTTCTTACTCCAGCTACAGGAGACATCACGCTTGCAGACTCTCATCCTGCTGGGGGACTTCAACCACTCCAACATCTGCTGAAATAGTAGCACGGTGAGCTGTAAGCAACCCAGGAGACTGCTGGAATGCATTGAGCATAATTTCTTAAGCCAGGTAATAGACAGCCCTACCTGAGGGGATGAGATACTCGACCTGTTGGTTACCAACGCAAGTGAGCTAATTGGTGATGTCAAGACTGGAGGCAGCCTGGGATGCAGTGGGCATGCACTAGTGGAGTTCTCAGTCCTGAGGTATATGGGTCAGGCAAAGAGTAAAGTCAGGACCCTAAATTTTTGGAAAGCAAAATTCCAGCTCTTCAAGGAGTTAGTCAACAGGACCTGCTGGGACAAGGGAGCAGAACAGAGCTGGCAGATCTTTAAAGACACTTTCCATAGAGTGAAGGGGCTCCCGATACCCAGGTGTAAGAAATCAGTAAAGGAAGGCAAAAGACCAGCATGGATGAGTTAAGACCTGCTGGTCAAATTAAAGGGCAAGAAGGAAACACACAGGCAGTGGAAGCAGGGACAGGTATCCTGGGAAGAATATAGGGATGCTGCCCAGTTGTGTAGGGATGCGATCAGGAAGGCCAAGGTGCAGATAAAGCTGAACTAGGCAAGGGATGCAAAAGGACAGACCAATACTGTTTAATATCTTCATCAATGACATAGACAGTGTGATGGAGTGGACCCTCAGCAAGTTTGCAGATGAAACCAGGCTGAGTGGTGCGGTAGATATGCCAGAAGGACAGGATGCCATCCAGAGGGACCTGAGCAAACTCGAGAAGTGGGCCTATGTAAACCTCATGAGGTTCAACAAGGCCAAGTGCAGTGTCCTGCACCTGGGTTGGGGCAACCCCCGGTATCCATGCAGGCTGCAGGATGAAGGGATTGAGAGCAGCCCTGCAGAGAAGGACTTGGGGGTACTGATGGATGAAAAGCTGGACGTGAGCCAGCAATGTGCGTTCGCAGACCAGAAGGCGAACCGTCTCCTGACCTGCATCAAAAGAAGTGTGGCCAGCAGGTAAAGGGAGGGGATTCTGCCCCTCTGCTCTGCTCTGGGGAGACCTCACCTGGAGTACTGTGTCCAGCTCTGGAGTCCTCAGCACAAGAAGGACATGGACCTGTTGGAGCGGGGCCAGAGGATGGCCACAAAAACGATCCGCGGACTGGAGCACCTCTGCTATGAGGCCAGGCTGAGAGAGTTGGGCTTGTTCAGCCTGGAGAAGAGAAGGCAGCGGGGAGACCTTATCACAGCCTTCTAGTACCTGAAGTGGGCCTACAAGAAAGCTGGAGAGGGACTTTTTACAAGGGCCTGCTGTGACAGGACAAGGGGTAACGATTTTAAACTAAACCAGGGTAGGTTTAGACTGGATCTAAGGAAGAAATTCTTTACAATTAGGGTGGTGAAACAGTGGAACAGGTTGCCCAGAGAGGTGGTAGATGCCCCATCTCTGGAAACATTCAAGACCAGGTTGGACGGGGCTCTGAGAAACCTGATCTAGTTGAGGGTGTCCCTGCTCATTGCAGGGGGGTTGGACTAGATGACCTCTAGAGGTCCCTTTCAACCCAAACTATTCTATGATTCTGTGTTTCTACGAAAAGCAGGGGATTAACATTAGTGTCTTCCAAGATACTTTCCAGCCTTGGGTAGTCCTGAAACCTAAAGACAGACCAATTTAAATCTGGAGATTTAAATCCAGCTTTTGCTGGAAAGTCCTCTAAAACATGTGAAGAAAATTCAGAATAGGAGTCCTAAAGTGATAAGAGAAAACTACTCCAGCACTGTTGAGATACAGGTGATGGAGAATATATTACACAACTTGCTTTTTTCTTTCTGCTGTTGCAAAGCCCAGTAGTGGGAGAGGAGTGCAGAGGGACAGGGATCCAGTGTAACATCATGAACTGAGAAGGGAGACAATTCGTCTTGCATTTAAATGCCCTCTTGCTCAGATTTTATCATGAGGTTGTTCTTCTTATTGCCTCATTATCAAATAGGGTTTCTTTCCCTGATCTAAGATACAAACCCACTCTCAAGATAGGTGTCCTCTTCCTTTCCAGTGTAAAGAAAATGATGCCTGTTTTTATTGAAACCAACCCGGAGTAGTGTTTATTATTGAAAATATACAGTATTTTTGAACATCACATAAAAAGCCTAGTAGATACATCTGCTCTAGTTAAAATGCTCAATAATCTTTGTGCAGCACGTAGCACTATCCTTATAATGCAAATGTCCTCTTCTCATTATTATTTTTACAGTGCTTCCCTTTTTTATTTTTTAAACCCAGAAAACCCATTCTGTTGTCCTTCCCCACCCAAATCCTCTTACCTTAAAAAACCCAAAGACTTTCCAGAGGCTACTTACATCGTGTTGAAAGCGTGGGGCTATGAGGAATATTTTATGGAGCTATCTAGAGATATTGCTGTTCTTTTCAAAATTTTGTGTATGAACAGGGCATGGCTCTTGCAAGGCAAAGTGCCCTGTGTTAAACAGTCCAGTGATGCCCTGGCCAAGTCCCAGTCTATCAAAGGGAGAAATGGGGAACGTAGATAAATTCGGATTTTTTACACCACTTTCAGATGTTCTTTTTCTTGCTGCCACGTGTTCTCAAATGACAGTTCTGAAGAGAACAAATTTTTACAAAGAAACAAGAAAGAGATAGGGTATCTATACACCAAACTGTTGAAATAATTGGGAATCAATGTACAGGGTGAGATGGGCAGTATGTTTAAAATAGTCTTTGCTCACCACGATATGGAAGGGGAAAACAAAAAAAAAAAAGGAGAAAAAAATTGATTGTTCCTGCCAGTATGCTGTTTTAGAATTTGTATTGTGAACTTCCACAAGGTGCAGTCAGTGTTGAATCTCTTTCTTCTTTGAATCTGTTTCCCCACCACCTACTCCAAGAGGCTTTTGCCTGGTTGCCTTAAAGCAGCATCACGAAGATGGGAGATGAAAATCCACAAAAATATGATGGGCGCCTCATTGCAAAAGAGAGCAGTGTAGAATAAAGGAAGAAAGTTTGAAGAAAGGGGCCTGGGGAGAGTGAAGAAAAAAGAACCCTGAAGGCCACCAGGTGGTGTGTGTATGTGTGGGGCATATCACACGGCTGCTGTCTGTTTGATGCTATGGAAGCTGATTCGCGTCGGAGAGGTGGGGATAGACATGGCACGTGCCACACGTGCTCGGAGGGAGTGATGGTCTTGCCAGCGGTGCCATCTTTTCCTGGCAGCAGAACGGACCTGGTGAAAAAAAAAAAGGAAAGAACGTGAACACTTGGAATACCCAGGTGGCCTCTCTAAAGGGACACTAGACAGCTCTGAGACAAATAATGATAGGTGTCAAGCCCATGAAACATGAAGGGCTTGATTCAGCTGCCTAAAAATGGGCATCTAGTTCACTTGATATTCTCCTGGGTATGGCACTCTGGGAAAAGCATGGCTTTCACATATCTCATGTCTCATATCTGTTGTCTTAAATACCCCAGAACATTTCAAATGGCAATAAATGCCTAAATTTATGCAATTAAATCAAGTTCTCAAGATATATGCACCTAATGGAGGTATAACAGAGACCTATCAGAGGGCCTGTAGTTTCCCCTGCTTCCCTTGTATATGAAGGGGAATCACAGATCATTTAATTAAACTTTGGCGTCTGCAACACAGACACACCTGACTTAATCCCCGTGAGCATCTTGTACAGGCAGTGGAGAGCTACTCTGCAGTCAACAGAAGGTCAGCCTCAAGCTGATGCTTACAGATAGGCCACATGAATCTGGAACTTTAAGTGCATATTTTGCTGCATGAACCAAAGAGAGAGCCCAGGAGCTCTAGCTCAAATATGATGTATATAAGCAAGAGAAAGAGGTGATAGGAAGCCTAGTCGCAAACACAATGGGAGGGAAAGTTTGAGGTACTCCTAACATAGACTGTAATCAATTCCTGCCAAATCGTTGGCACAGAAGACTCAAAGTCAGAAGCTGAAATGAAACATTTAGACCAATTTCTGGATAGTCTTGTTGATCTCCGCTTACAGTAGAGATGAGAGCAATTCAGATCCCTAACCTAGGCAGCTAGGTAAACCTACAAAATCAGGTGAGATGAATCTGGGCCCAGCTTTTTGGACAGTCAATGGGTAATTGTACTCATGACACTGGGAAAGGATGTTGATATTCTGCTGCCAACCTGAAATCCAGTCAACTTTGGAAAAAGAGCATTTTTATGTACAACCTCTACACCAAGCCAGGGCCTCCTTTGCCAAAACCACACTTGGTTAGAAGGTGGGCATATAAATAATATAATGTAGACATTACACCTCAGCTACAGACCCACAGTTCTCTTCCTGACCAAGAGAGAACCAGTCAGTGCAGTCAAAGGGTATGATTCATGTCCTCCTAAAGCAGATGTCCAAAATAGGCCAGATACTGTGGTCAGATGAAAAATACCTATTTCCTTTTATCAGTTATAAAGTGAGTCTAGACTATTAACTCTGCTTTAGATGTCTGGATTATAAATTTAGTTAAATTTAGACAATACTGATATCTTATCCTGAATGTTTTTCAGTCTTTAATGTACTTATCTTCATTGCATCCCTCAAAAGTAAAGAAGTGCTCTTATCCCCATTTTACCACCATCAGGCTAAAGCTTGGGTATTAATAGCAGTGATCTTGTAGGTAGACCTCAACATGGATCAGCTACCATGGCAACTGTAGAAGGCCTGGGATGAGCTTGCACAGCCTGTGTGAAACCCATGCTGGCACAGCTTCTCAGCTATCAGCACCTGAGGTAGATCAAAGCCATCCTGGGTGTATCTATAATCACCACTGGGATTGCAGGGAAGATGGTACTGAAACAATTTGTCCCAAAGTGCACAGCCACTGCTTTTCTCCATTTCCTTTAAAACTTGGGGCCTGTCTTCAGGTGCAGTGTGAAGTCTACTCAAAACATGAGGAACGCACACTCCCCAGCCCCACTTCAGACCAGCTCCAACCTGATGTCTAACAGGTGCTCAGATGAGCTGATGAGCTGCAGTAGCAGAGGTATTTCCCACCTAAACCACATGCTGTCGGTGTTAGGTGTCCTAGATGAACAGGAATGATGGCCTGATAGTTAAAACATACAACAGTTCATATGGGGGACATGGGAAAAGGGGGAATCTGCACTCCTTCTCTCAGAGGGTTTCAATCCTCCCATTTCTTGGTGGGCCTTCAGGGACTTAGACAGAGCCACAGTCTGTAGCACTACTACTTAGAAACTCTGCACTGTTCTGGTCTGGCACCTAACATTCCCTTCTCACCACCAGATTTGTCCATGAAATACACCCCATTTCAGGTTTGTATCAACTTGGAAAACAGTTTTGCAATTGCCCTTTTTGGTGCCTTGTTAGGAGAATCCTGAAGCTGGAAGTCTGGCTTTTTTATCAGAGCCCTTCCAGAAGCTGCAGATGGGGCAAAATGGAACTGAGGATCTCTTTCTTTGGTTTTCTCAACTGTGTGTGATTTGTCCTGCTTGATCTGACACTTAAGACAAGCAGATGCAGATGTTTATAGTAAGGTGAGAAGAGTGCCACACTGGGTTTCTTTCTTTTGATTTTGTATCAATGATTTCTTTCAGTATAAAGTTATGTGGTTTACACTTAATAGGTGGGACAGACCTTAGAAAGGTCTACGAGGGGATAGGACTGCTTGCATGGAAAAGGGGAAGACTGAACACCCAATTAAAGAAGAATTAAAGTTAAAAGAGCACTGCCAGGAGGAGCATGATCATCACAAATGAATTTGCAATACAAATGAGAATAATGTGGTTAAACAACATAATGTGGTTAAACAATGAAGTTGTAGGTACAAAACCGTGTCCCCTAGTTTCAAGATGGGGTTTGGTCAGTTTACAAAATGAGTTAAATGAGATCGTTATATGAGATAGCCAGAGTCAGGATGGGCTCATTCAGCTTTAGTGAGCATCTTGTACAGGCAGTGGAGAGCTACTCTGCAGTCAACAGAAGGTCAGCCTCAAGCTGATGCTTACAGATAGGCCACATGAATCTGGAACTTTAAGTGCATATTTTGCTGCATGAACCAAAGAGAGAGCCCAGGAGCTCTAGCTCAAATATGATGTATATAAGCAAGAGAAAGAGGTGATAGGAAGCCTAGTCGCAAACACAATGGGAGGGAAAGTTTGAGGTACTCCTAACATAGACTGTAATCAATTCCTGCCAAATCGTTGGCACAGAAGACTCAAAGTCAGAAGCTGAAATGAAACATTTAGACCAATTTCTGGATATTCTTGTTGATCTCCGCTTACAGTAGAGATGAGAGCAATTCAGATCCCTAACCTAGGCAGCTAGGTAAACCTACAAAATCAGGTGAGATGAATCTGGGCCCAGCTTTTTGGACAGTCAATGGGTAATTGTACTCATGACACTGGGAAAGGATGTTGATATTCTGCTGCCAACCTGAAATCCAGTCAACTTTGGAAAAAGAGCATTTTTATGTACAACCTCTACACCAAGCCAGGGCCTCCTTTGCCAAAACCACACTTGGTTAGAAGGTGGGCATATAAATAATATAATGTAGACATTACACCTCAGCTACAGACCCACAGTTCTCTTCCTGACCAAGAGAGAACCAGTCAGTGCAGTCAAAGGGTATGATTCATGTCCTCCTAAAGCAGATGTCCAAAATAGGCCAGATACTGTGGTCAGATGAAAAATACCTATTTCCTTTTATCAGTTATAAAGTGAGTCTAGACTATTAACTCTGCTTTAGATGTCTGGATTATAAATTTAGTTAAATTTAGACAATACTGATATCTTATCCTGAATGTTTTTCAGTCTTTAATGTACTTATCTTCATTGCATCCCTCAAAAGTAAAGAAGTGCTCTTATCCCCATTTTACCACCATCAGGCTAAAGCTTGGGTATTAATAGCAGTGATCTTGTAGGTAGACCTCAACATGGATCAGCTACCATGGCAACTGTAGAAGGCCTGGGATGAGCTTGCACAGCCTGTGTGAAACCCATGCTGGCACAGCTTCTCAGCTATCAGCACCTGAGGTAGATCAAAGCCATCCTGGGTGTATCTATAATCACCACTGGGATTGCAGGGAAGATGGTACTGAAACAATTTGTCCCAAAGTGCACAGCCACTGCTTTTCTCCATTTCCTTTAAAACTTGGGGCCTGTCTTCAGGTGCAGTGTGAAGTCTACTCAAAACATGAGGAACGCACACTCCCCAGCCCCACTTCAGACCAGCTCCAACCTGATGTCTAACAGGTGCTCAGATGAGCTGATGAGCTGCAGTAGCAGAGGTATTTCCCACCTAAACCACATGCTGTCGGTGTTAGGTGTCCTAGATGAACAGGAATGATGGCCTGATAGTTAAAACATACAACAGTTCATATGGGGGACATGGGAAAAGGGGGAATCTGCACTCCTTCTCTCAGAGGGTTTCAATCCTCCCATTTCTTGGTGGGCCTTCAGGGACTTAGACAGAGCCACAGTCTGTAGCACTACTACTTAGAAACTCTGCACTGTTCTGGTCTGGCACCTAACATTCCCTTCTCACCACCAGATTTGTCCATGAAATACACCCCATTTCAGGTTTGTATCAACTTGGAAAACAGTTTTGCAATTGCCCTTTTTGGTGCCTTGTTAGGAGAATCCTGAAGCTGGAAGTCTGGCTTTTTTATCAGAGCCCTTCCAGAAGCTGCAGATGGGGCAAAATGGAACTGAGGATCTCTTTCTTTGGTTTTCTCAACTGTGTGTGATCTGTCCTGCTTGATCTGACACTTAAGACAAGCAGATGCAGATGTTTATAGTAAGGTGAGAAGAGTGCCACACTGGGTTTCTTTCTTTTGATTTTGTATCAATGATTTCTTTCAGTATAAAGTTATGTGGTTTACACTTAATAGGTGGGACAGACCTTAGAAAGGTCTACGAGGGGATAGGACTGCTTGCATGGAAAAGGGGAAGACTGAACACCCAATTAAAGAAGAATTAAAGTTAAAAGAGCACTGCCAGGAGGAGCATGATCATCACAAATGAATTTGCAATACAAATGAGAATAATGTGGTTAAACAACATAATGTGGTTAAACAATGAAGTTGTAGGTACAAAACCGTGTCCCCTAGTTTCAAGATGGGGTTTGGTCAGTTTACAAAATGAGTTAAATGAGATCGTTATATGAGATAGCCAGAGTCAGGATGGGCTCATTCAGCTTTATGCTACTCCAGTAGAAGCCAGCCTG